AAGTAGTCGAGATACTTTAGGAACGAAAATATTCTCCTTTGCGAATGCTCTTTCGGCGCTGTCCGTCTTCAGCTGGCACGAGGTACAGTAATGTCTCTCCAATAGACGCCCAGTTTAACTACAAAAATGGACAATTTGGGAAGAGGAGATACGATTATTCGAGCCTTGCGGTTTACCGTGTTATAGTTATAAATTGCCCATAATTATAAAAACGAGCCGCGAGTGGACAATCATTAGTGGACAATCTGAGCGTCAGTAAGGGAGACATTACTGTATTCTTCCTTGGAAATACCGTTTCGGTAAGAACCGGGGGAAACGGACGGTCGCCGAAGAGCAGAAAATCGTAGCAAAGAGAGTGTTCGGGCCCGATTTTTCAGGCATTGTCTCGAGCCTGAAGAAGGATAGACGGCGGAAAAGAAGGGAACGGGACGGGAACAGGGCCGCGAACGAAATCGTTTCGCAGCGAGCGTAAAGACAACGGGGACCGTTATCCCGTGGCACGGGATAACGCCTCGCCCTCGCTCTCCAAGTCGTAAGCTCCGTGGGTTCGAGATATTTTCCCGTGACCGCAAAACAAGAGGAGGCAGCGGTTGCTTGGACGAGCGAATGCATCGAGCTGGCTCGACCGACGGGATTGTCCTTCATTACGCACGAAGGAAAGTGCAGTCATCGGCGTGCATACCCGTAGGTATGCACACAGAGGCATTAGCTCCCCCAAAGCCAACCGGTATTAATTCCACTAATTGGACGTGGTTTGGTTCGTGGCAAACATCGGTCCCCTACCGATCCTCGACCTTCCTCGAACAAGGGACTTGGATCTCGGCATCGATCGCTTTATCGCGGCAAACAATGACTTTATCGGTGACGGAAACGAACGGCAGCAGCCGCCGTGCCGTTCTATCGTTCTCCAGAAGCGTCTTCTCCTGTTCGCGTCAATTCGACCGTTCGATTCCCGCGATGCTAAATCCTACGCGGTTTATGCTTGTTGCAATCCGGATCGAACCGAGAGCGAGAGCGAGCGGGCGAGCGAGCGAGCGAGAGAGAGAGAGAGAGAGAGAGAGGGAGAGAAGCGACCTATTGTAGGAAAAGTGGAGCAACAAGACGATCGGCCCCCGCTCGGACGAGCGACGATGGTCAATGAACGTTAGGCCCAGGGGGTCTCGTTTCGTTTGGGGTTGCACGAGGTCAAGGGATCAGCTGCGGTGGAGGAGTACGTGTGCGAAGCCTGTTACACGTACAGACTCGTGTACTCGTAACGAACGAGGAGGGTCTTTCCTCGTGGATCTGGGTCACCGGGCCGATCAGGACCGATCAGGGGTTGACCGTTGGAAAAAGACCGAACGGCGCTTCTCTCCTGCCACCGCTCTCGTATCCTCCGCAATTTTGTCTCTCGATTCGCGATTCCCGTCCCTCGGAACTTTGGCGAATCGAAGAGTCGCGGTCCTGGAGTACGCGAACGTCGGAGGACCCCGAAGAGCCGACGATATTTCTGACCCGTCCACGGTCTCGCGGTTCTACTTTCCAGGTTCTAGACCGAGTCCTTCCGCGAAGCTCTGTTTCCAGGCAGGTCGCGAAAGCCTTCGACATCTCCGGCGTTTCCCTCGCGGGAAACTAAAACGCGGCGAGTTTTTTGCGGGACCAGATCCGCGGATGCTAGGGAAATTAGCGGGCCGAGGGGCCCGCGTCGAACGAGCGGGAAAAGCTCGGACGTAAGAAGCATCGGCGGGTACGGACGCTTTCGATATGGCACAAAGGTATTAAGCACTCATACTCGGGAGCTTACCAAGAGCCGCGGAGAGTGTCGGCTATGGTATATCGCGTACGCTCCGCGGCAGGAGGAGGATGAGCAGGATCAGGAGGACGAGGAGGACGAGGCGGAGGAGGAAGAGGAGGAGGAGGAGAACGACGAGAATGAGGAGGAGGGGTTGGAAGAGGCGGAGGAACGGTGTTAGCGACGCGAAACCGTGGCGCGAGGGGTGGACCGCGGAGGGACGGGGTGCAGCACACGGCGGGGTAGAAAGAGGGTGGTCGAGGAGAGAGCCGAGAGCTGCGAGCCGAGAGCCGTGAGCGGAGAGCGGAGAGCGGAGAGAGAGATCGCGAGGAAGCACAGAGTTACCTACAGAAGAAATAAGCGCGCTCGTGTAATGCTGATGGCGAATATGGTAGTGGAGATCCAGCGAGGGAACGGCGAAGAAGAAGGCGGGGTAGGGGAATGGGACGAGTAGTGCTCTCTCTCCTAACCGAGACGGGGGGGCGGAGGGCTGGCTGAAACTGAAGGGGAAGGGGGACCCCCCGCGTGCTCGAGAGACCTACCGATCGATTCGAACGCCGCGCCGGCGACATTCTTCGTCGTACGGAGTACGGACAGAGGAACAGGGAGAAGCGAGAAGAGAGAGAGAGAGAGAGTCGCGATCGAGAGACAGGCGGGGCAGAGACGCGGGAAGGTGGGAGAGGGCGGGAGGAAGAAGGAGACCCGGAGAATAGGACGGCCACGGAAGAGGGAACGACGCGGAGGCGCGCGAGAGAGCGCGAGAGCGTGCAAGCCATAAGCCAAGGTGGGAGGAGAAGCCACAGGAAGAAGTAGGAGGGAGCTGCGAAGAGGCAGGGGAACGGAGGACGAAAGAGAGAGAGAGAGAAGGAGAGAGAGAGAGATTGCACAAGGGAGACGTTTGAACACGGTGAAAGAGAGAGAGCAAGGATATACGCGAAGGAGAAGAAGCTGAAGAAGAAGCGAAAGAGAAAGAGAACGGAAGAGAAGAGAGAGAGAGAGAGAGAGAGAGAGAGAGAGAGAAAGAGAGAGAGATGGGGGGAAGCGGAAAGGGTTCGAGCTTGGCAAGGAAGGACGACGATTAGTAGAAGAGACTCCGGGATAGAAACGGAAAAAGAAACGGGGTGGGGTGTCGTGCGGAAGAAAGCAAAAAGGGGAAGAAAAGAAAGGAGAAACAACGCGAAGGAGAAGGGAAGGCAGGAAACGGCGAAGCGACAAGGGACGAGGGGTCGAAGGAACGCGCGAAGGTGGGAAGGAGGGTAGGAGGGAACGAGCAGGAGGGCTGGATAGAAGATCGTAGGAGCGGCGAGGAGGACCGAGGGGGTGGAGGCATATCGGCGTGGCGCGGCGCGGCGGCAGCCTCGGGAGGGGTAGAGAGGTCGCGAGGAAAAAGAAGAAATCCCCACTCGTAGCTCGTAGCGCGTAGATCGGCGGTAGGTTCGAATCGTACTGTCTTGTCGAGACTCGCGTCTGCGTCTGGATGTCTCCGTGTGTTAGTCGCCCCCGGAATCGTCCCGGTCGGCGTCGTCGGTGGCAGTGGTTACCGCCTGGTGGGGAACGGCTCTTCGGTCCCACCACCGCGAGGGGGAAGGCTCGAAAGGCGTCGACGCCGCGAGGCTGGCGTCCAATCGGGAGAACCGCCACCCCGGTGGCTCCGCCAACCGGATACTCGGTTGCGCGCACAGAACGCCCATCCTCCCCGTTCTTCGGGCTCCCACCGATGTTTTTATTTATTACATCTGTGACTGGGTAGGGAAATACTCCCGACTCGACCGAGAGAGCGTTTGCCACTTTGAGAACGAGCGACGCGCGTTCCTGCGAGTTACCGCCGCAGCCGCTTTCGTCGTGGTCGTCGTCGTCGTCGTCGTCGCCGTCGTCGTCGCCGCCGCCGCCGTCGTCGTCGTCGCCGTCGTCGTCGTCGTTGTGTCCGTCACCNGAGAGAGAGAGTCGCGATCGAGAGACAGGCGGGGCAGAGACGCGGGAAGGTGGGAGAGGGCGGGAGGAAGAAGGAGACCCGGAGAATAGGACGGCCACGGAAGAGGGAACGACGCGGAGGCGCGCGAGAGAGCGCGAGAGCGTGCAAGCCATAAGCCAAGGTGGGAGGAGAAGCCACAGGAAGAAGTAGGAGGGAGCTGCGAAGAGGCAGGGGAACGGAGGACGAAAGAGAGAGAGAGAGAAGGAGAGAGAGAGAGATTGCACAAGGGAGACGTTTGAACACGGTGAAAGAGAGAGAGCAAGGATATACGCGAAGGAGAAGAAGCTGAAGAAGAAGCGAAAGAGAAAGAGAACGGAAGAGAAGACAGAGAGAGAGAGAGAGAGAGAGAGAGAGAGAGAGAAAGAGAGAGAGATGGGGGGAAGCGGAAAGGGTTCGAGCTTGGCAAGGAAGGACGACGATTAGTAGAAGAGACTCCGGGATAGAAACGGAAAAAGAAACGGGGTGGGGTGTCGTGCGGAAGAAAGCAAAAAGGGGAAGAAAAGAAAGGAGAAACAACGCGAAGGAGAAGGGAAGGCAGGAAACGGCGAAGCGACAAGGGACGAGGGGTCGAAGGAACGCGCGAAGGTGGGAAGGAGGGTAGGAGGGAACGAGCAGGAGGGCTGGATAGAAGATCGTAGGAGCGGCGAGGAGGACCGAGGGGGTGGAGGCATATCGGCGTGGCGCGGCGCGGCGGCAGCCTCGGGAGGGGTAGAGAGGTCGCGAGGAAAAAGAAGAAATCCCCACTCGTAGCTCGTAGCGCGTAGATCGGCGGTAGGTTCGAATCGTACTGTCTTGTCGAGACTCGCGTCTGCGTCTGGATGTCTCCGTGTGTTAGTCGCCCCCGGAATCGTCCCGGTCGGCGTCGTCGGTGGCAGTGGTTACCGCCTGGTGGGGAACGGCTCTTCGGTCCCACCACCGCGAGGGGGAAGGCTCGAAAGGCGTCGACGCCGCGAGGCTGGCGTCCAATCGGGAGAACCGCCACCCCGGTGGCTCCGCCAACCGGATACTCGGTTGCGCGCACAGAACGCCCATCCTCCCCGTTCTTCGGGCTCCCACCGATGTTTTTATTTATTACATCTGTGACTGGGTAGGGAAATACTCCCGACTCGACCGAGAGAGCGTTTGCCACTTTGAGAACGAGCGACGCGCGTTCCTGCGAGTTACCGCCGCAGCCGCTTTCGTCGTGGTCGTCGTCGTCGTCGTCGTCGCCGTCGTCGTCGCCGCCGCCGCCGTCGTCGTCGTCGCCGTCGTCGTCGTCGTTGTGTCCGTCACCGTCGTCGTCGTCGTCGTCGTCACCGTCTCCGTCACCGTCACCGTCATCGTGGTCGCGGTCGCTGTCACCGTCGTTCTCGGTCGGCCTCGCGCGGTGAACGTCGCGTTTGTGTCGCGTTGCAAGCCCGGCGTCGACGACAGTTTTCCACGTTTCGCGATCGACGTCGATCCGAGCCGGGTGTCCAGTATCGTATCGAGTGTGCTCCGAAAAATACTCCGTCAGTGTCAAAGAGAGAGAAAGAGAGAGAGAGCGAGAGAGGGTGGGAGAGAGAGAGAGAGGGAGAGAAAGGGAGAGAGAGAAAGAGAGAAAGATAGAGGAGCCTAGTCACGCGAAAATCGCCTCGAAGAACTTCCCTCGCGGTCGATCGTCTCGTCGACGAGAGACCCGTCGCGGAGGCCAGTCCGTAGCGCGAGGCGATCGCTGGGTCCTCGGGCCTGCGTCGGCCGGCACCGTCAGCCGATTGTCATGGACAGGGTCGTCCGAGTGGTTGTGCACAGTGAAGTTGTTAGCTCCGCGTACACGGTTCACCGTACTCCGTGAGACGCGACAAGTTTTACCCGCCGAGTGACACACAGTGACTCTTCTCCTCGAGGAATCGATTTTTCTCTGGCCGATCCTGGATCGCCGGGACCGCGCGCTGTTCGTCGGCTGGGGGCCACCCGAAGCCGATCGGGAGATTCGAAGACTCGTCGTGCCTGGTGGTATGCGTTGACTCGCGGCGCTTGGTCCTCTTCGAAGCCCGTGGTGTCCACGTGGGCGAGACTGAGACGGAGACCGGAGCTGGCTGAGCGCCGGCCGTCTCGGTAGTTGTCCGAGAGAAACCCGCCGTGACCCGTGACCCCCGTGACTCGTGACCCCGGTGTCTCCGCGAACCAACCGACCCCGAGTTTCGACGACAGCGCTCTTGGGGTTCGTCGGACACGAGAGAGAACAGAGGGAAAAGAGAAAAGACCAAAGTCCGCGGTGGTATTAGGACACTCCATGGACCACGGAGCGATGGATAGTTCGTCCGACCACAGTAGCCGCGCCAGTCCCGTAACCGGCAGCCCGAAGCACCCCCATAGCCCGTCGGGTCAGCAAAGTCAGCAACAACTCCACGGTTCCCACAGCCAACCACCGCCGTCGCACCAACAACCCCATCCCAGGGACCAGCTCCGGGAGCAACAATCGCAGCAGCAACAGCACCGCGGCGTTCCCACGCCGGGTTCGCCGACTCGCGGTTCGCCACCTCAGGGTCTGCCGTTGAGCCCGCCGCCCCTGTCGGCCGGAGGAACACCGGGCGCACCGCCAGGCATGGTGCCCCGAATGCCGGGCCTGCCGCCGCCGGGCCTCGGGCTGCTGGGACAGCTCGGCGGCATGCTCAGCGGCCACCACGGCTCGCCCCTCGAGCTGATGGCCGCTCATCACGCGGTCCTGCCGCCCAGGTCCTACAACAGCCCGCCGCCGATCAGCACCAGCGACCCGACCGCCAACGAGTGCAAGCTGGTCGATTATCGCGGCCAGAAGGTCGCCGCGTTCATCATCGCCGGCGACACGATGCTCTGCTTGCCGCAGGCCTTCGAGCTCTTCCTCAAGCACCTGGTCGGCGGCCTCCACACCGTCTACACGAAGCTCAAGAGGCTCGATATAGTGCCGTTGGTGTGCAACGTCGAGCAAGTTAGGATTCTACGCGGTCTCGGAGCCATCCAGCCCGGCGTCAACCGGTGCAAGCTACTCAGCTGCAAGGACTTCGACATACTCTACAGGGATTGCACAACGGCCAGGTAAATCCACGATGCGCCATTCCGTCCACTCATGGTGGTGGGGTCTATGTTAGAACTAGAGACGACGGTACGCGAGTCCCGAAACCGGACGGGTCGCGCTCTCCGGACTCGCTCTCTCGGTTTTCTCGAGACTCGAGACCTCGAATCTCACTCGATTCACCGTGAACCGGTACCTTGTCCAAAGAGACTCGATGACGCGCGACGATAACACGCCGTGTAGAGCCACCTACGGCTCCGCTGGTCCCGCGGCTCCCGCGCCCGTTCCCGCTCCCGCTCCCGCGCCCGCTCCGCTCCCTTTCTCGCTCCCGTTCCCGGGAACGGAAGCTACGATCCTCGCGTGTATTAATAACGGCCGGTGTCGCCTCTGGGCAGCACTTTATCTTCGGCCAGCTACGGAACGCTTCGCGGCTACCGGCCGACCAAAAAATATTTTAATCGCGCCTCGGCTACTCTTCTCGCTACCAGGGCTCATCATCCCCTTCACGGCTTTTTATCTCGTCTCAATTTCTCAGCCGCTTTCTCGGTCCGTCGTTTCTGCTCCCGCGGAACGATGCCGAACCCCTTTTCATCTCCGCCGTTCTCAACGACGTCGATTCGATTCGATTCGATCGCCGATGTCCAACGCGTACATGCTGATCACGCGCCTCGGCCATAGTTTTCTCGTTCACGGAGCATTTCTACTCTGCGCCCGAGGGAACGGTGTCTTCGTGTCTCTTTTCGCGCGTCGCGATCCTCGATCGCTTCGCTTTTATCGCTGTTCCCACCGAACGATGTTTTAATCGCGCATCCGTCGTTCGCCTTCGTCTTCAAACAGTTTTCTCGGACAAGATCTTGGTTAGCTATCGTATTCCGTTCGTATCTACAACATTGCCGGAAACAATGCCGTCGCTCGAGCCGATCGTTTTCCAAAGACTACCCGATTTCGGTGGAGCACGGAACGGGGAACGGGGGACGGCAGCAGAGGATCCGCGGTCGAAGGCACGTGCCTTTGTATCTGGAATTGTCAACGGGCCTCCGTGCCAACAGGTGTCCCTTTCACGGCAGTTTCTCTGAATGAATCGTCCCCACCGACGAGACAGAGAGAAGTGGCTGTAGTACAAGCTTACCCCACCCACGAGTCAGACGGCAGACGAAACGGAATGGTAAACGGAACGAGGGGATCCGGTGGTCGTCGGGGAAAATATTGTCCCGAGGTTCGTGGTCCTCCTACGCTTCCGATCGCCGCGAGTCCCGTTCTCTTCCTGGCCGATCGATTCCGATTTTCTACGGACGCGGCGGACGTTGGATCCCGCTCGATCCCGCCGGATCGAGAAACGGGGTGTTCGGGGGATCGATCCGGTGGCGAATCGGTCCGGGTTAGGGACAATAGCATCGCCGGCAGCGGCGCGCAGTGGCAGTCAGAACGGAAACGGATTCAGCGCGGGCGACACGGCGAGGGCGAAGGAGAAAGAGGGTCGAGGAATTCCGAGCGGAGGGAATAGAGACGGGAACAGAGGGAAAGAGAAATCGGGAGGAAAGAGACGGCTGTAGGGACAGGGATCCGAATAATCCGAGTCGCAGTTACGGAACAGAGCCGGCGTAGCCGTCGCGCGTCGCGTCGAAACAGCCTCGGCTCGAGCGCGTCGGCCCTTTCGACCTCGATCTCGATCCCCGTTCCCGAGGGAACGCTGTTTACATTTCCCATTCGCGAGCTTTCTTATTGGGTTTCTAGCAGCTTTCGAACAGAGACCGTTCGACACCCTCGGGGCTATGTTCGAACAGACTGCGTGTTCCGGGGACCCTTGTGGACTCGAGAACGGCCATGCAGGCTTATTTCGTTTGCCGGTTAATTATCCCGTAACGGGTAACGCGTAACGCGCGCTCCTCGCGTTTCTTTTATTCCGTTGGCAGAGAAAGAGTGAAGAGAGTGGCCTATCGCGGTCCCGATACCGTGGCAACGTACCGACATTATGCCGCACCGAAAAAGTGAAAACCTGACCGGTCAATGTCCCTCGAACACCCAGGATGATCCATCATTTCTCCGTAGTTTGGCTCCGCGCCGCGTTCCTCTCCTCTAACGACGGTGTCAGACTCGCTTTCGAAACAATCTACCATACATAGATTGAGAGCTTGCGAATTTCTGATCGTTCCATCAGACCGGCTCTGCTCGAAAAGAAAAGCGAAAGTGTGATCGTAATGTCTCGTGTCTCTCGACGGAGATTCGTCGCGCTGCTCTCCGTTTTCTTCGACGTTGAGAGACGTCGAATTTGAAGGGGGAAATTTGGAAGAAAGGACGATAAGATCCTTGTAACTTTGCGAAATCTCAGAAATTTGGTAGAAACGGAGCAGCATCTTCCTGTCGCAGCACATTCTTCGAGATCGCGACACCTCCGAAAGCTGCTCTTCTCTTTAATTTCTGCAGACTGAACGAATGGATCGCAAGATCCCAAAGATACGAGGTCCTCTACTTAACCCTGAAGTAGTATCTCTGATATTCTCAAACATTGAAGAATCATTTTGCAATTCTTGCTGAAAAATCGCCTAAAGTGCCTACATCTACGTACTCCAAAGCGAGTGGATTTTTCGGATAAATTTATGCTTCTATGATATGCAATACGTAAAAGTATAGAGGAGAAACAAATGAGCAAACGTTCGCAGCACTCTCTTCGAATCGTACGTGCACGTTGCGCCGATTAGTTTCCGTCACAAAACACCAAGCTGAAAACGGTGAAACGAAAGAACCGTCGCGCCGCTATTAGCTATAATTATCTTGTGCAGAAGGAACGAATGTAGACAGGTCGATGCACAGAAGCCGTTATACGTTACGTAGAAAAAGTGCTGGGGTTTCGTAAACGGAACGCAAACCGTTTATTTATTCAGGAAAATGTCTCTTGTCGCTATTGGGTCCGTAAATGGATACGCGCAGGTTTGAACCAACAGTCCTCAAAACGTTTTCCAAAAGCTGGTACAGCTTCTATGAATTTTATTTCACGAATTGACGCGCCAAAGTGTCGATTCGAGTGTACGAAATAGGAAAAAGTTATACGAGACATGACTCCGATTAATACGGTGCTCGATCGCTGCCGTTTCGTCGAGTTTTCGACGAAAAATTCGCGCAGCAGGATCGTCGCGCGCGACGCGACGGACCATTATCGTGGCGTGAAATCCAAGAATTCTCTTTGCAACGAATATTTTCACGGCAGTTCCAGAAATAGTATCCTTCATCGACCGTATTCTTTATCGATTCCAAACGAGTTCTGAACGAACAACAACGTCGACTTATTTATCGAGCCTCGACGACGCAGATTCTCGCGATCGACTATGCAGTTGCGGCGCGTATCATGAACACGGAGAGGCTGGAAATCGGCGCAAGAATGTTCGTCGGAGGTGCAAAAATCAAGAGAAATTTTTTGCTCGACAGGTTTTTCGATCATAGAAAACGCGGTGACGCGAACAGCTGCTGCGAATACAATGGTTGATGGATCGCGATCGAAAACTCATTGTCAGCGTGACAACCGAGCACGGCGGCGACCACTCGCATACCCAGATGGCAAAAATTGTTCGAATACGTGGCACCGCGGGACTTTCGAGCGAGTAATTCGCGAAGGTATCGCAGAGACAGAGCGGACCTGACGGACGCGGATCGGTATCGCGATCCGGAGCGACGAGCAGAGTCCAGAATCCGGAGGTTCTCGTATCGATTGGAAAAACCGCGGGCACCGGTAGCTCCGAAGCGCGGCGGCGTTCTGCGGGGGTGTAAAGGGGTCGGTGGGTGCGAGAGGGAGGATCGCCAGGAAAAATCGGATGATTAAGAGACCGCGGTATGGTCCTCGTGCGCGCGGTGTCCGGTGCTGGTCGCGTGTACCGCTGACGTCGTTACATTCTGATAATGCACGGGCAGTGGTAACACCGGGAACACTGGCTACACACCGATGTTACCTCTCTGCCTCTCTGCCTCTCTGGCTCTCTCTCTCTCTCTCTCTCTCTCTCTCTCTCTCTCTCTCTCTCTCTCTCTCTATGTGCAGCCAAAGGGGGCTTTCGCGCGCACGGTTACACGGCCCTACGGCCGGCTCCATCGCCATCGATGCAACAGCATGCACCGAGAACCGCACCGATAATTCAGCCAGATTTTTCTTGCGGTTTAGAGCGGCGGCGCCGGCTGCGCTGCAACGCCGAGCGTCGCGTCGCATAGCGTCGGGGATCGGGGATCGGGAATCGAGGATCGCGTACTCGTCCCGTGAATCCAAACTTTGCATAAAGAAGCCCGGCTTCTCTCAAATCGCGCTGCACAAGACCCGGGAATGTTGCGCTTATACCGCGAACGTATTTGTTCGATTTAAGCTCGAGGAACGAGTTCGAGGTTCGATCGGGTGCAGCGATGGGTGCATAGACTACTAGACGCGAGCCAACGCGTGCAGATCNCTATTAGCTATAATTATCTTGTGCAGAAGGAACGAATGTAGACAGGTCGATGCACAGAAGCCGTTATACGTTACGTAGAAAAAGTGCTGGGGTTTCGTAAACGGAACGCAAACCGTTTATTTATTCAGGAAAATGTCTCTTGTCGCTATTGGGTCCGTAAATGGATACGCGCAGGTTTGAACCAACAGTCCTCAAAACGTTTTCCAAAAGCTGGTACAGCTTCTATGAATTTTATTTCACGAATTGACGCGCCAAAGTGTCGATTCGAGTGTACGAAATAGGAAAAAGTTATACGAGACATGACTCCGATTAATACGGTGCTCGATCGCTGCCGTTTCGTCGAGTTTTCGACGAAAAATTCGCGCAGCAGGATCGTCGCGCGCGACGCGACGGACCATTATCGTGGCGTGAAATCCAAGAATTCTCTTTGCAACGAATATTTTCACGGCAGTTCCAGAAATAGTATCCTTCATCGACCGTATTCTTTATCGATTCCAAACGAGTTCTGAACGAACAACAACGTCGACTTATTTATCGAGCCTCGACGACGCAGATTCTCGCGATCGACTATGCAGTTGCGGCGCGTATCATGAACACGG